CTCTCTCTCTCACACACACACAAATACACAAACACAAACACACCCTCTCTCTCTCTCTCTCTCTCTCTCTCTCTCTCTCTCTCTCTCTCTCTCTCTCTCTCTCTCTCTCTCTCTCCCTCTTTTCTGTCTCTTTTCTCTCGTCTTTCTCTCTTGTTCTCTCTTTTTCTCTCCACTCGTTCTGTCTCCTCTCTCTCTGTCTCTGTCTCTTTGTCACTGTCTCTCTGTCTCCTTCTATCCTTTTCTCTATTGGTTGTTGTAGTGTGCCATTTTTAGCCCCTGCTCTTTTTTAAAGTTTTACTCCGTCAATTATGTCATAAAGTGTCCTATTATCTTACTCCCCCCCCCCCCCTCTCTAGAGACAAAAGGGTTGTCAGCAAGTACTTGTCCTTCTCATAATTCTCTCTCTTGCTCTCTCTCTCTCTCTCTCTCTCTCTCTCTCTCTCTCTCTCTCTCTGTGTCTCTCTCTCGTTCTCTCTCTTTTTCTCTCTCTTTTCTCTCTCTCTCTCTCTCTCTCTCTCTCTCTCTCTTCTCTCTCTCTCCCTCTCTCTCTCTGTGTTTCTCTCTCTCTGTTTCTCTCTCTACCTCTCTTTCTCTAGAGGTTATAATGCCTTGAAGTTTCAAGTTTTAGCAGCGAGTTCAAATCTCATCATGGATATTGTTATAATTTGTTTGATTCAATTTAGAAGTTAAAAGTGTCCAATGATTAAAAAAAAAAAAAAGATTTTCTTCATCAAAAGGCATTTTAGCATGAGTCTTATTTGTCAAGATCTTAACGTCCCTGTCTACCTATATTTACCGGTCTATTTATTTTTATCGATCAATTGTAACTTCTCGTCTCTTACATGATTTCCCGGTGTTAGATACGGATATTACTCATTAGAAAATGAAAATCAAACACTAACAAAATCTCCCTTTCCTTTGCCTCCCCTAGGCGGCGGTGTCTCTCCGAAGCCTTCACAAGAAAAATATTTATCATCAGAACTTGAGGCCAGAGAACATCCTCCTCAGTACCCGTGACGTCGCCTTCATCTCTGACTTTGGCGCTGCGTGTCTACTCTCTGAGGGATGTGACAAGGTGGACACGTGGACAGCTGCACCTGGTTTCCGGGGACCCGAGGCGGACAAGGAGGATGGTCAGCTCTGTCCATTCCAACTGGACACCTACAGCCTGGCTGTCAGCATGTGGCAGGTACTGTCTGGTCTGTGTCCAGTCAAGAACAAGCCTTTGGATCACCTAGACAACATTCCCCCACAGTACGCTGCCTTGTTGAGGAACCTTCTTCTTCCGGACCCCGACATGAGATGGACCCTGGACAAGTTCCTCACTGAGGCCCTGGAGCTGCACCCGGACCTGTCCTGTTTTCTCTAA